GGGAAGGAACAAATGCGCAAATAAATAGAAAGAACAAAATGGAGCTTGACGGCTATGGTCCAAACTCTGGCAGAAAACATGTGGGCGTGTCTCACAATGGGGGGAAGGAATTGCGTGGTTGGTTGTTCAATTCCTTGTAAACCTACCCCACAAAAGGTACCGAGCTGACACACCCATATGCGAGGCTTTCAAGGGTGAGCAAATTGGGTGTGTCTCAAAAAGCCCAAGGCGACTGGTTGTCCTTGTAGGTTTGACTTAGACCCGCCCAACGTGTGCAAACCCCCCCCCCCCCGCTGGATGGTGGTTTTCTTTAGACCCACCCCTTCTGTCGGCTTCCGTCTAGTTGGTGGTTGAATTGATCGTTTGGATTTGGAGTTGAGCGGTGGTTTCCCCACCACCGGAAGACCGGGCTCCAAACCTGTTCCCCTTTTGGCCTGTGTTTAGTCTTTGGTTCCAAAGGCAACCTTACACTTGCCATGTTTGGCCCCACGCCACAAGCGAGAAAAAGACACCCGGCTTCCCACTAGGCGGTTTGGAGCCCGGAGATTTGGTGGCCAGGGGCCGGGTCAAATCCAAATCCAAACCACCGAACAGAGCCACCAACTGTTGGTGGTATCCCTTTTGCTGTTAATCTGAAGGCAAATGGGTTCACCAAATAGGAGTAGGGATAGTTTCCTCACTTACCCTCGAACAGAACCACGGACCGGGTCAAATCACAGGTATCCTTTTTGGAAAAGAGATGGCCCAGGTAAATGGAATAAATCCCATCTAAACCAGTTGGCACCCATCTATTTCTCATCAAGCTCACCTAAAAAGGACGCCCATGGGTCAAATCCACGGCTCCAAATCCAACCGAACTCCGAACCACCAAGGAGTGACCTGCGATGACCGGCTGGGTGAAGCGACTCCAGCCCTGGCCCTCAGCTCCCCGCAGGGAGTCCGCCGTCACGATGACGCAGTGCTCGAAGCCCATGGCGACCATCCGCACCTCGATGACTCCGCTGGAGTTGGCGCGTCTGATCTCTAAATTTGGGACACCTTTGTGTAGGGAAAACCCCCCCCAAAAAAAAGACAACAAGTGTTTGAGACATTCCGCCTCCCCCACCCTTTTGGGGCTCTATCCAAATCTTCAGCTCCCCTCAAAAGAGGGTTGTTTGGTGGTTCGGTGGTTTGGAGGTGTTCTGGGGCTAAACGATGACGTGGACTTACTATCTAAACAATGCAACAATATATCCTGGAGATGACTGACGACAATAAACCGGGCGGGAGAACGAGGAGAACACACACGCAGCGCTAAAGAGAGCGGGTGTGAGAATGGGAGTGCTCAGCGTGTACGCCATGTAAGGAACACGGAATCCCATCCCACAAGAAGAGGCTCAAATCCCCAACCAATCCAAACCACAAAGTTGGGGCTGCCTAAAATTTGGGTCACGTTTGCGCAAGGGATTGTAAGCCTTCGAAGGCGTGAACCGGATTGGGGGAACATGGGGGAACCCCATTTCGAGATTGGTGTGGCACATGAATCCAAAAGTTGCCCGTAAGAACAACGTGCCCCCACATCAACCCACAGACCATTCGCTTCAACTAGAGTCCTGGGGAGAATAAGGTGGACAGCACTCACTCTCATTTTCACGTGAGTTGCAAGACCTGGTACAAAAGCAGCTTGACCAAAAGCATTGCAGCTCAAGTGTGCGGTGCCTGTCCTGTATTCCCTTTGAATCAGCCTAAGATGGGTACGGACCGGTCCGTCTTTGGGCCCCTCACCGTCCGGCACCTCACACCGGTTTTCAGCGGTACCGGCAGCCAGCCTCGGGGCTTCGCTTTGCGCCTGGGTTTTGGTTTGGAGTTGGGTTGTCCAAAATGGAGGGCCCCCTTTTGGGCAACCCCCCCTTCTTTGGGTGCCAAAGCGAATTTGGTCGGGCGTGCCAGGGTTTTTGACCCGCAGCTAGTTGGGTTGGGGGTGGGTTGAAAGATTTGATTTAGGGAAAGGCATGATCTAGGATGGATTCGGAGATGGTTTAGGGTTGGTTTAGGGTGGGTTTAGGGTTAGGCTACAGACAGATGTATCTTTGTATATATGTGTGTGTATAAATGTGTATATATATATATACATATATATGTATGCAAGCCTTAGTCTACCATGTTCTTGCAACACTCTTGGTTGAAGAGCAAACTTGGCTAACTAGGCTACCTGAAGAGAAGACAAATCTGGGCAATGGCCTACCCATGACACGCTTTAACTTAAGACGAGAGCTGGGAGGACTCGAGTCTAAGCCCTGTGAGTGCAGGAAAGTGCGCTGCCAGTGCGCCACAGCTCTGGCTCACTGCCGTCTTTGGTAGAAAAATTCCTTCGGGTTGCTTGTGCAGCCTTAATCCAGCTTGTTCTAGGGGTACCTTCCAGCCATTCTCTCCAGGCATCCTTCTTTCTAAAAAACCACCCAAAACCCTGGGGAAACAGCTGGTCTTTGAAAAGAACGATGGTTGAAAAGAATGGGGAATCAACCCCTAGACTTGTCTCAAAATGCAAAGGCCCCATTTCCACCCTCGAGCTTGGAACGCCAAAGCAAACCCCAAAGCTTGCTGGCAAACATACACCCTTCGCCGCCAAACAAGCACATAAATGTCCGACCCCAAAAGCAACCCAACAAAAACAAACAAACAAACAAAACAACAGACACCAACTCCACAGGAACCACCACCCAACATCACCCAACGTACGGACACCCCCCCCCAAAGGCCCAAAGGCCCAAAGATGCCCAAAGGCCCAGCCCGAGCCCGGGGCAGTCCCCAGCAGCATCCAGCGCCGGCATCAGGCCGTCGTCCTGCAGCGCCTCCTCACGGCTTTGGGTCGTTGATCGGTGGCTGGGTCTGGAGGAGTCCCTTTAGCCAGGGGCCGCGCTTGTTTGGGCTTCTTGTTTTTACCCCCCGCCTTTTTCTCGTGTTTTTGTTTTTCCTTTAAAAAAAAAATGGTGTTGTTTTTGTTTGGTCTCTTATTTTTTGGGGGGTGGGAATGAAGAGGAAACCACCAACGCAACATGCCGTTTTGAGTGTCCCGGGCTTGAGAACCAAGGCACGCTTTTTGAGGTAGCCACTCACTTTGGGGTTCCAGGAAGTGCGGAGCCAAACCACACAGCCGGAGCACGGACAGGAAGCCAAGGAAACCTAAGCTCATGGCTTCAGCCTCTGCCCTCCGGCCCTAGATAGACCCTGGGGGCAACAAAAATAATATGCCCTAGACATGTCATCTGGGGGTTGGTCCCAAAGCTCCAGACGGAGTCTTCCGTTCGCTCGCTCAGACGGAACCCTCTCTGTCCAGCTCGGAGATGTCTCCCACGTGGGAAATCCTGGGCACATCGGCTCAAAGTTGTTCAAGGCAATGGGACCGAGGCCAAGGAAAATCGCAACTGCTTGGTCCGGTTAGACACCTACTGTTAGAACAGCTCTCTTTCCCTCCTTTGGCCGTGGTCGCTTGGTCACCCTTTTTTCCGTAGTGAGACCCTGGTTTCTGATGATTCCCCAACGTCAATACCAACAAACGTTATGGCTTCAACCATGGTTTCCACGAAGAGGATTTCGCAACCATCCACAGTGGCACCCAAACCGAATGGATCTGACTCCACTTTGGTATACTTCTTGCTACTATGTCTTTGGACGATTTTTCTGATTTTTTCGTGGGTTCGGTTGATTTTTAGCCGTCGGCCTGGTTCACCAGCCAACTCTCCGCAGCCCCCGCGGCGAGAAGCCCAACAGACCAGAAACACCAGAACGAAGCGAACAATTGGGAACCCCGAAGCGGAACGGTCTCCGCGGGGAAAACCCCCAAAACCCAAAACCCAAGAAACCGGAAAACTCGAGGCCGAGGCATTCCCTCACCATCCATTGGGCGCCCCGGGCTCGCGCTGGCCCCAGAGCCACAAGTTCTCCACCGCCATGCCACCCGGAGGCACCTCCCCGCTGCCTCACGACACGCGTGGTTTTAGACACCACCGAACCACCCGAACCACCACAGGGATCCTTTTTGGCAAATGGATGGATTTCCCCTGGTAAATGGAATGAAACCCATCTAAACCAGTGGAACCCATCTATTTCTAATCAAGCTGACCTGAAAAGGACGCCCATGCCTCCCACCCACACCTCCCATCGAAGAATGGCGTGACTTCTTTTTGGGGGGTGACCCCCCCACCCCCGGCAATGTTTCTTCTATGTCAGGATGTGACAAAATTGGACAAACATGGATGGTGGGAACCCGGCATGGGATGTTCAGCTCAGATTCGGCAGCTGGAGCACCCTGTTTTGGCTGGATGGCTCACACCATCGCGACGCTTAGAGCGTAGCCTGCGCCTATGCATGCCTGCGCATGCCTATGCTATGCATGCCCAAATGCCCTTGCGAGGTGGGCAAAAATCGGCAACCGCGGCTTATCCAAAACATCTCTGCAACCAACACGCCATCCTAAGATCAGGACTCAACTAGGATGTCCTCAGATTCCCCGCCAAAAACTGACTCACTTTTAGTGGGGCCAATGGAAACTCAACCACCAAAAAACAACTAAACACCTAAGGAGCGAGCCGGATTCTGGGCCGAGATGACTTTGGCTTTAACGTGCCCCCCCACCGCCCAGTGGGCTCCTACCATCCACTTCCGCGTGACCGCGTGCGCGTGCCGCCCTGGCAAAGGACCAATTCCGCCAGCTTCGCTGGCCGGTCTATGCCCTTCAAGGGCTATTTTTCGGTGCGGGCGTTCCGGCTTTAGGCGTTCAAGAAAACAACAACACCACCCGTTCTCATGGTTTTTGCCGGGACGTGGCCAAATCTTGCTTGATGGGACAACGGGACCGGATCGCCATGTCTTTCACGAGGCTGTATCGCCTAGTCGTGTTTCATCGGACCATGTCGCCAAATCTTGCCTAATGAGACTTGTTTACGTCGCCAACTCTTGTTTCATGGGACTGCATCGCCACAGAACTTGGCGGCTTCGTGTCGAAAAATCTCTCCCGCGAGTCATGCTTCCTCCACCTCGATGTCGATATCTACCAGGCCAGGGATCGCGGTCGGACTGCGGAAGCTGCGGATGTCCAAACGCGGCGGCTGAGGGATGTGCGTCGTCGGTGGCCTCGGGCTTGCCGAACATGGGCGAGAATTCGGCACTCAGCTGCAACCAGTGACCCAAAAAGTCGAAAAAAAAACAACTCTATTTTATTTTTGGGGGCTAACTCAGAGGTGTATTTTTTTTGGAAAGTAGATGGCCCTGGTAAATGGAATGAAACCAACCTAAACCAGTGCCATCTGTTTCTAGCCAAAATGACCTAACAAGGACACCTATGGGCGTGAAGCCGTCAAACAAATAAGAATTTAGGGTCAAGGCATATTACCCTTCCATGGGCTATCTACATGTTGCCCTTCCATGTTACCCTTCCATGGGTTCGCCCCCTATCTACATGACACTCACCTTGCCATATCTCGGTATGGTAGCCCGGATGCAAAAAGAGAGGCTTTTTGCAGCCCAGCTTTCCTATAAAGGGGGGGGTTTCCCATTTACGCTTTACAAGAACTAGGGGGTCAAATCTAAATCCAAACTACCAATTGAGCGTAACCTGAAAAACAAAACAAAAAGCGAAACAGCTAAACGGCTTGTTGATGGACCACAGATCTGGGCAAGCTACCATGATTTCAGGAGAAAAACACAAAACATAATGTGCAACGAACAGTAAAGTGGGCGTGTCCTGTTTTCAGGGCCCCCCGCATTTTCTTGTTGGCTTCCCTTTAAAACCAACCCCCAAAAAAAGGGTGGGGCACCCTCAATCAACAAATGGACACGCCCAAGTCGTGCAAAGCTCTCGCCGCTTTATACTCCAAGTGTCCTGTCCCTGTTCGAGCCGAAGGAGTACTCAGTCATCTGCGGCTCCATTGGCCTCGGGCGATCTGCATCTGGCCAAACTCCGCGTCAGGCGTTTCAGTTGGGATAGATGAAGCCGACTGGAAAACACGTTGATAAAACGAACGAACGACATACAAACCCAGCTGGAAAGCACGGGCATATTTCAATCATACAGATAAATTACCTACAAGCGCGGACAGTTTTCCCGGCCGAGGGCATCAATCAAAGGGACCTTCAATGGTGAGCACTTTGTCTAAGCTTGAGCTTTACCCCTTACCTTCACTCACCTGCCCAAAGGATCTGGAAACAAAGGGTTCACATTTTGGGGCCACTGCAAAAAGATCAAACTGGGGAAGCCAGGTGACAAGGCCGAATCGCTTTGGGCAGGGCCACAATTGGTCAAAAGCCCAATCACTTAGCAGTGAACATCCGATTCAATGCAACCGCTAAAATAGGTTCTAAAATGGGTGGTGAATTCACCTTACCCAAGATGGTACCATTGGTTTTGACAACCACTGCCAAATGGTTTTTTCCCCATTCATGCGGCGGCATGGGCGGTTTCGCCAACGCCAAGCCGCAGGGAGCTCACGTGGCTGACTTCCGAGACCGTGCTGAGACCTCAGCGACGCGTTCGCCACAACTGCGGGAGGAAACCCAAAATCGTATTTGAAGGGTCATCTCAGTAAGGTGGACCCCTATATTCAGTTTATTCAATTCGGGGTGTTCCTTGAATAATTTACCAAGCTGAAAAGGGTACCCGCAACAAGAACACCAGTTGCCCCGAAATATTCATCAACTCCAGTTTAGTCATAGGGGGATGGCGGCCCCTCCAAAAGTGGCCTGATTCCCCTCTAAACCCGGGGGCACCCCCGCATTGTTAAACTGGGGTTGATTAGTATGGGGCCAACATTACCCACAAACCAACTCCTTTCAAAATGGCACCCAACAGGTTGATGCTCAAATCCAACCCCTTTACAAAAAGAGAAAGAGAGGGAGAGAAAAAAAAAAACAAAAAAAAACGCGTGTGTATATATTTGAGGTATCAATATAGATATACGCAGATATGTGACGACAACCTTGGGCCTGGATCTGACTCCGAGTCTCTCCCCCGCTCCGGCGAAAAGTCTCTGAGGCTTTGGCCGGTCCCCTGCCGCTCCTCAGGCGGGCACTTTCGCGGCAGGCACCAGGTGGCTCGTCTTTGGAGTGGGTGCCGCCCGGTCTTTGTTTAGTGGGTCTTGAAGGAAACCGCGAGGAAAGTCGAAGAATCATATTTGCTGGGGGGATTCGTGAGTTGGAGGTGGAGTTGGATGGTTCTATAGGAAACCAAGCGGAAAACCGAAGAATCACATTTGTTGGGGGTCCCGCAAATAAAGACGCCCCAATGGCGGTCGGCTTCCTGGTTGGTTTGGATGGCTGATGGTTTCCCATTGAGCCCAAGCGTTCAAATCCAAATCAACCAATTAACGGCTGCCTAAGGGTTTGTCTCAACATAGGACTTGGAACCAGAAGAGCAATTGGTTTTCGTATCTTTTTCACTTCCCTTTCAAAGCAACCAAAAAGGGTGTGTGTGATTTTTAGGAGCCTATAAATGGGCAGTGTTCCTTTGGTTTCGGGGAAAAAACATGTCACTGTGCGAGTATGCCCCCCTTCAAATGGCAGTTTCAGTGGAGTGGTAAATTGCAACTTGGCAAATCCAGCGACCCCTGTGTTGAAGAGAAGTGACAAGGGGGTTGCTGAAAATCCGAGGGGTCGCCACTTTTGGGGGACTCCAAAAATGGTTGGCTGGCCATGCGTCATTTCGAAGTCTGATGTTGCCCAGAATGGGACTCGGCTTGACCCAAAAAGGGGTGGGCTTCACGGAGGGGGTTGCTCAAAATAGGGGTCCGTGGGGACCTCCAAAATGGCAGAGCACTTCCATGTTTGGCAGGCCCCTGCTGCTTCTCAAAATAGGGATGCAGGCCGAGCTGTTTCATGGTTGTTGTTGGGAAACATGTTGCATTGTTGCTTGTTGTGGTTTAGCGGGAAAAACTTAACTGCTAGAATTTAAATTGTTGCTCCCCTTCCAACGTCAACCAAGGTTTCCTGTTGGCTCCAGTGATCGAATCCCATTTTGATTGAAACCTCCATATGCATGGCGACGAAATAAGTGCAAGCGGTTTTACAGGGATCTCCACGTCTCTTTCCCTCACTGTTGTTGGTGTTTTAGGTGTTTTGGTTCTGTTCATGTTTAGCAGGGGAATGCAAACAAATGCTACCATACAAAGGGTTGTAAGAATACACTTCCCTGTTTGGCGATTTGCGCGTCACCTTTGGGCAAATCTTCGAACGGAGGCAACCCTGAAAAGGCATCTTGTCAGCCTTCTATTTGGTGGTTTGGCTTTTTGGACCTTAGAACCCTTTGGCTTCAATCGGAGCCCGGGGCTCAAATCCCCAACGCACCCATCGAGGGGCGCCCGATTTTGGTGGAAACGCGCCTCCGACGCCGGGTATTTTGCCGGGCGTCTAATCTTCTTGGCATCGGCTTGTCCCAGGCTTTCTTGGCCTTCCGCTCGAGCAGTGCCTGCGCTTGCGTCTCCTTTCAATTCTTCGGTTTAGTTTGCAAAGAAGCAGCAGGGTTGTGGGATCAAGGGGTTTATCCCCACTTCTGTGATACAAGGGAATCTCCCCCTTTTTATGGCAGGTCTGTCTGTGGGAAGCCCTTTTCGTTGTATCACAGAAGTGGTCGTTTCCCACCGCCTTGCAAAGCAGTTGCTTTTAAAAAAAAACCGTACAACCCCCCCAAGTTTGAGACGGTTTTCCGAAAGGCGACGTGCCCGCTGGCTCAGCTCGACCTTCGAAGACACTTAACTCGATCATTTTTGGTTATCAGTCTTATTCTCACTCTTAGTATTAGCATTATGCCGTTTACGTAATTGTTTGACACCAAGTTGCGGGGGGCGGTTTAGGCCCAACTTGGATCTGGCCCAACTTGGATCTTTTGAGCTATGCTTTCCCCCGCCTCGAAATGCGTTCGGAAGAGGCCGAACCTGAGCAAAAGGAAGAAGCTCGGCGCAAGAAGCAGAAGCTGGGTCTGTCGAGGGTATTTGGGTGAGGGAACCCGTTTCAAGTCCTGCAAGGGAAGTTTTGGGCCCTCCCCGTGAACTGCCTTTGTTGGAGAACGGTAGTAGCAAATGCACAACCTCCGACAGATGCGCCGGACAAAAGCACTGCTCGAAGCCGACCAAGCGATGAAAAGGATGGAGTTGGCTGAATTGAAACGACCGAAGTCCCCCCATTTTCAAACCTCCCCAAAGTTTCCAGGCCACGAGGTCTCGCGCTTGGCCAAGGCGCAAGGCCAACACGGAGAACTTCTCCTTGCCGCCCTGCGGGGTTGGATGTTTGGCCCCAAACCATGGAGAGGGTGCCCAGTTACAACTAGTGACCCGGTTTTTTGGGGCTGACATCAACCATGTTCTTTTCTTAGCCGGGACGCCGCCAAACAACAGCTTCTGGAAAATCTAAAATGCTGTTAAGATCTTTTCTTCAGTTCTTGGTTGGATGGAAGCCGGAGCGCTAGCTATAAGTTTTGCATCCAAAACACCACCACCACCCCACCACCACTCCACGCCACTGTCCCTCAAAGGCTGAAATCACGTGTCCACAAATCCTAGCTCATAAGTTGTTTGCAAAAATCCCAAATGGCCATGCACATGGACCTCTACAATCAGCCCCTTTATTTCCCGAAAAAATCGGAAAATCCGCCTGCGCCACCAGCTTGCTGATGTTGTCCCTGGTCTCCGCCACCTCCCGCGCCTCCAGGGCGATGATGGTGCGTTGCCTGCCGCCGCAGGAAAGGCGAGCGAGCGCCGCACGACGGCCTAGAAATGGCCGTGTTGCAAAATACGGGGGGCCCCCAAATTGGGCGACCCCACATTGTTAACCTTCTGGGCGGGGGGGGGGGACCTAGAAGATGGGTGGCGAGAAAGCACTAGCAGCGCGCGGCGGCAAGCGTCTCCTAGCAAGTTCTCTGAGCAAGTTCTCTGCACAAGTTCCTCTGAGCAGGCCCTCTGCGTGCAGCGCTGACCACAACAACGTGAGAACGAGCACAACTGCCGATCCGGACCCGCGACGGTGCACTTCGCGCAATACTTTCGTGGTCAAAAGCTGCCGTCTGCCCGCGTTCCGACCCAAAAAAAAACGTGTTTTTTGTTTGCCGCCCCGAGGGTCCCGCGCACACCGCCAAGGCAGACCTAAGCCAACAGGGAAACCCCTTAGTTTCAGCCGGCCTTGGAGGCGCCAGCATCTTTCCCAGCGCACGAAAACCGAACAGAACCCACCAAAGCCTCAAAACTCTTCCCAAAACTGGGACCCTTCCCACCGAACCAAAATATACATATTCAGCATGATAATACCTGTGTTTCCTTTGGCTTTCCATCCATGGAAACCAAAAAAAAATCGGTTCCTCGAGTTCCCGCGTTCCTCGCACCGGGCCCCTGGGATTTTGCAGGGCTTCCTAGATTTCCTCTTAAAACTTCACCCCCCCCAAAAAAAAACCGCCGGAAACCACCAAAAAGTCGGCCCAACCACCAAAAACAAATACTAAACAGTTTGCCAAACCACCAAAAAGTTGGCCAGTTGAGCTTTGATGCTTCAAACCCCACCTTTGAAAGGGACAAGGGACCCGTGCAACGTCCTCCCCGGCCTTTGGGGGTCCACGTACTCCACCACGCCGTCCACGGAGGGCGCTTCCGGCTCTGCCCGGGCCTTGCGGCTGTGGAGCCTGCGCCGCGCGAATTTTCCAAAGGAACGGCTTTTGTTGGGCTTCGACCCCCAAAAAGGCTGCGGCTTCCCCTTGGTCGCCCGTTACCGGCTGAGAAATCCGAAGACATAAAATTGCGAAAGGGGGAAATGTTCTAGGGGTCGATTGCTTCCAGGGAAAAAACACCTACAAGAGTGCATCATCCTGTAGGTGTTCCTTTGAAACGAACAGGTTGCAGGGCCTGATTCCTTTTCCATTCTTTTCAACCGTGGTTCTTTTCAAAAACCGGGTGTTTCCCCTGGGTTTTGATGGCTTCCTGAAAAGATTTCGGATCCCTGGAAAGAATGGAAATGGAAGGTACCCCTAGAGTTAGCTTTTTGGGCTTCGACCCCAAAAGGGCTCAGCCCCCCTACTTTCGAAAATATCCATTTGCGGGTGGACCAAAAGGTCCGTGAAAAGAATCGGATGGCCATTGGTTGGGAAACCACTCGAAAGATCCTAGGGGGTGAGTCTTTTTCCACTCTTTTCAACCATCGTTCTTGCCAAAAACCGGATCCGTTTCTGCCGGGTGTCCGGAGGTTTTCTAGAAAGAAGGATCCCTGGAAAGAATGGCGAAGGTTTCCCTAGATTAAAGGCTGCGGGTTCCCCTTGGTCGCCCTTTCAAACCGGCTGAGAAATCAGAAACCGGGGTACCCTCAACAAAGTGGCTTCGGGTTGCTTCTCTTGGTTGCTCTTCTGAACCACAGAAAAGAAGGTTCCCTCAACAATGTCCCAGCTAAACCATCAAAAAAGGCGCCACAAATCAGAGGTACGTACCTTCAAAAAGACACACCCATGCGGTGTTGTTTGAGACCACGTGTAGGGGCTGGTTTCAATAAAGGTAAACCAACAGGAAACTAACAGGAAACCAACCGTGTCTGGGCTGTGCTCGGATCCCCTGCTAAAAGTGTGAGTTGTGGTGGGTGAAATGGAAACCCAACCACTAGACCAACTACAAACGGAGCCGGATGGCCGGGACCCAGAAAATTGCGTCACGAGGGTGCAACTTGTTTGGGGAGAGGCCAAAAGGCCACATGTGAGGTGAAAAGCCGCTGCCAGGTTTTCCCACCAGCCCCGTGACACCTCTCCCCCCTCTTTCTAACACCCCTCCCTCCCCCATTTTCGGTTGGGATCGATCCCCCCGCCTGGTGATGCCCAGGCAGATGGCTCCGAAGAAGAGCGCAGGCAAAGGGATCGCCAGCAGCCAGCTCAGCTGGGTGTCCGCCCCCCGCTCCGGGCGGTCCCGTGGCAGCTCCAGAAACTGGAACTCCTTGCTGGAGCCTCGGGAGATATGGCCGTGGTGGTCAACACCGTTTTGGGATCGCATTTTGGTTGGTAGGTGAAATCACCACCCATTTTACGACCTATTTTAGTGGGGATTGAATCAGATGTTCACTCGGGGTACGGGAGTTTAACCCATGGCCATATGGCGACCCAGGCCTTGTTTTTGGTGGGAGCTTGCTTGCTGCAACGACCCCCCTGCAAAAAGTGAACCACTTTTTGGGGGTTGAGTGGAAAACACCTTGAATTTCAACCAAAAGTTAAAGTCTAAAGATCCAACCCAATTGCAGTCAAGGGAGATATGGCGAAGGCCGGCATTTTGTTTGGTCAAGAGGAGGATGATTTGGGTCCCGGAAATGCTGATGTTCCTGGTGGGTGCCCAAGTTTAAACCTACCTAAAAGGGGAACCTGGGGAAAAACCAGATTGGACGGAGCCCAACATCATGTCAATGGTGGTGGGTTCCAACTTTAAAACCTTAAAAAAAGAAGGAAACCTCAAAAACAAGCACGCGCGCCGCGCAAACAAACAGAAATGGAGAAAAGGAGGGTGCTGAGAATACACCAACCGCAAAATGGGAACCTCAAATACAAACAAGCAAGCAAGCCAGCAAGCAAGCCAGCAAGCAAACGAACAAACAAACACACCACCACGCCCAGAAAGCTCTCTCCGCTCGTGATTCGTTGACCGCCTAAACCAAAAAAAAAACAACAACAAACTCCAAGTCCGAGGAACCAGATAGCATTGTTGGACAACCCCAGCCCTCCCCCCCAAAAAAAACAAAGGGAGAAAACAAAAAGCACGGGCTCTTCCTCCGCGGAGCCCACTCGCAGCACCCCGGCCGGGGTGGGGAAGGGCCCGTTCTCCGAGCAGTTGCTGCACCAGCACAGGGCGTAGTGCCCCGGGGCCGCGCGCACCAGGCCATCGCCCCAGGTGAAGCGGGTGCCGTTCTCCGTGGCGGGCTCCGTGACTGCTGAGTTGGGGATCCCGTCTTGGAAGGTGCCGGGCGCCATCTCCCTGGACCGGAGGCGGATGAAGCCAGGCTCTTGTTTCAACCTCCTGGCCTGAGGTTGAAGCTAGGGTGATGCGTCTTTTTGTAGCCCCCCCCAAAAAAAAGAAAGTAGAAAGAAGAAACAGGTTTCCTGTTGGTGTCCGTTTAAGCTTTAAACCCTCAAAAACAAAGGACTCAAAAAGAAGCGACACACTGGGGAACGGCAGCACGGCACAAATCAAACCCTTTGGCCAACTACCTGTCGAGTCCGTACAGGGGGACATTCAAGCAGGAACCCGTATTTGTTTTAACAAAAAGACATGTGCAGAGGCAGCTCCTTTTTGGGACATGGGCCCCGATTTGTTGGGCTCCATCAAAAATTGAGGCGAGCAACTGCCCAATTTTCTGGTTTAAAGTTAACCTCGGATTAATAAACCCCTGGCTGATTTTGATTGGGGGGCGTCCCCCTTAAACTGGGGATTCAGACCACTTTTGGAGGGAACACCACCCTAATAATGGCACGGGTTTATTAATCCTGGGTCAACATTCCTCTGGTTTACCCTCCCTTCGGCTCCCTTCGGCTCCGGCGGTATCGCCTGCAGCTGGTGCCATCCGGCACCACCAGCAGCCGGTCCCCGTCTTGCAGGCTGCTCCCATCCAGCTCCGGGATCCTCGGAATGCTCGGTTGCGACCGCTGCTCCCCTGCTAAAAGTGAATAACTTTTAGTGGTTTGATACGGAAACAAAGTCAACATCCAAGCAAAATGCACCAAAGAATAGATTCGGAGCTAGGCGTTCAAACCTGGATCAGCTTCCCTTTCTATTTGCAGCTTTCGTGGTTCGGTGGTTTAGGGGTGGTTTCCTATTTAACCTCTTCAGAACCACTAATCCAAACCACCAACTAGGGTCAAAGCATAGACCGGGAAAACCAAACCGGGAAGAAATCGAATCCCAAAACTGGGAAAGCTCGATGGAATTGCAGGTCCCATGATTTCATGATCAAGGCCACACAGTGAAAATCATGACTCCAGTTTAATTGTAGACCTAAGGAAAACCAAACCACCTTTCCCAGGAACCAGCCCACCAAGCATGTGTCAGAGGAACATTCACTTCTTGGTATCTTCTTGGAGCTCCAGGAGAAAGAAAGAAAGACAAAAAGCCGAAAGGTCGATTTTCGCCCCCAGGCCGCCCCGCGACGCGCGCAAATCCCCGCGACGCGCGCAAATCCCCGCGCCTCGCCTCCGCGCGCAACCCCGCATGCGCGTGAGCCAAGGAGCTCGCAGGGCTCCCACTCGAAGCAGCGGTACACCACCTCCGGCACGGGGCCCCCGAAGTCCAAGCGGCCCAGGGCCAGGCTGAAGTCCCGGGCCTGGGACAGACTGATTCATCAGCTTCCAGCCTCACTTGAGCTGATGGAATCCCACAAAAGCGGGGGTAAGGGGAAGTCACGAGCCTCAAGTCGGGACTGTTTCATCAGCTTCCAGCCGACTTCTTGAGCTTCTGGAATCCCCCAAAATGGCCGGGGGGCGGGGGGGGAAGGTAGGCACAAGGTGGTGGAAAATAACCGATTTTTCCATGGGAACTCAGGTCGCCGGGGTTAGCCCCTTCCAGCCGCACTTTCTTGACGTGGTGCAGAGAATGACCAAGGGTTTGGGAATGAATCAAACCGTTTTAGGGTTCCCTAAAAAGAAACCGTGGGGGATGGTTGAAAATGGTTCAAAGGGGGTAGGTACGCTACGGGGGGTTCTTTTCGTGTTCCTTGGGGAGCCTTCGGGAAGCCCGCACAATGAGTGGACTGGTCCAAAACGCTCCCGGGCTTCCCGCAAACATATCGGGTTTAATCACACTTTCGATTTACCACGAAAATGGTCAAGCCCCAAAAAGTGACTAAAGTCCAGAAACTCCTGGTTTTCTTTTTGGCTTCCCTTTGAACTCCCCCCTTCCTCCACGAAAGGGTCCCATCATGCGGACGGACACGAATGCAGGTTTCCTCTCACGTGAGCAAGTCAGTCAAATGGCTTCCCCTATTTCAGCCTCCCTGGCGGTTGTGTTTTGGGAGCTGGGAGCTGGGAGCTCGGCCCCAAAAACCTCCCATCTAGCCCTCTCCCAAGCCGGTTCAAATCCACAGCCCAGCCGATTCCGAGGGTCCCACTTCGGTTTTCTCTGGGGAGGACCTGCCAAGAAAATCGGCAGTACGACCAAAAGCCAAACACCGGAAAACACAAGTTACAAGGACGCCACTTCTCTGTGGTAGCTGTGGGACAACATCTACTTCACGGTTGGTATGCGGCTTATCCAAGTCTTGCCAGGTAACTGGTGCCGGGTTTTGTCCATCCGCCGTATTGAGGTGGGGTGGTTTCTTCTATGAGTGTCCCCTATTACTGAAAATGGCCCCAAAACTTACATCCACACATACACACACAACTACATGTCACATGGGTGTGTCTCGCTTCGAGGGTATCCCTTCCTTCGTTTTTGAAGGGAATAATAAAAGGAAAGCCACAAGATTCGTAGGTCACGTTGCCAGGAAACGGGGTCAAGCACACGGCCTCCATCTATCATGGCATCGCAGCGCGGTCCCTCTTGCCCCCCCAGTGAGCCACCCAAAAGCAAAACGACACAGCCGGATCTTGGTCAACCCCTCCGCACTTCTTGTGGGTTGAACTCGAAAAACCCTTGATTTCTCCCGCAAAAAGGTGAGAAGTCTAGAGACCCAACCCCAAAAACAAAACAAAGAGGCATGTGGCTGCGGGGAACTCACACTGGCGGTTGCGCGAAGAACCACGAATCCCTCCGCCCCGCCTGCATGCAGGTGTTCTCCTCGGGGCACCAGCACACCTGGTATGACACGCTCTGGGCCGAGGCAGGCAGCAAAAACCTCGGCCGGGCGGAGAATGGGTCGCTCAAGGTGGGAGAGGGTGGAGTTGGGTGGGGCTGGTGCCTTGGTGTGCTAAAATGGACTGGACTGGGAAGGGGGGGGGGGGTGAAAATCCTGGGGGTTGGTTCCAATTCCATTCTTTTCAGCCATCGCTCTTTCCAAAAGGATCCGCTTTCCCAGGGCCGGAGGTTTCCGGGAAGATCCGGACCCGAAAGAATGGGGAAGGTACCCCTAGAGGCTCTGGCCAGTTTCCGAGACATAAAAGGTGATCACCTTTCGGGACCAAAAGAGGAAGATAGGAAAAACCAAAGGGTCAAAAGGTCGGCTTGGACGAGTGAGCTGGCTTAGTGGGAAACGACCAGCGATCCAACCCAAGAATCAGTGTGCGTTCATTTGGTGTGTGTATGGGTGTTTTGGAACAAACTTTGAAACCATACAAAAGATGGTACCCTCAAAAGCAGACACATCCAGCCATCAGTTTTTGGACCCGGGGAAAAGTTGTAGGTGCAAACAACAAGGACGGTGCTCATGTGTTTGCAACTTAGGCTCAAAATAAACTTGTATTAAAACTCTTATCCCAAGTTGTTTTCATTGCAAATCCAAGCGGCGGTCTTCATAAGCATGAGGTCCCTCAATAGCATGCCCCTTTAAGTGTATGAGGCCGTTTGCAAACGAAAGTAGTGGTAGTAGTAGTAGTAGTAGTAGCAGCCGCAGTAGTTACTAGTAGTAGTAGTAGTAGTAGTAGCAGTAGTAGTAATTAGCAATAGTAGTAGTAATAGTAGTAGCAATAGTAGTGGTAGTAGTAGTAGCAGCAGTAGTAGTAGTAGTCATAGTAGTAGTAGTAGCAGCACCAGTAGTAGTAGTGGTGGGGGTGGTGGTAGTAGCAGTAGCAGTAGCAGTAGCAGTAGCCGTAGTAGTACTAGCAGCCAGCCGCAGTAGTAGTAGTAGTAGTAGTAGTGGTGGTCGTCGTAGTAGCAGTAGTAGTAGTAGTAGAAGTAATGGCAATAGTAGCAGTAGCAGTGTTAATGATTATAGTTGTAGTGGTCGCAGTAGTAGTAGTGGCAGTATTACTAGTAGTAGTAGTAGTAGTAGTAGTAGTAGTAGTAGTAGTAGTTGTTGTTGTTGTTGTGGACCGTAGTAGTAGTTGTAGAAGTAGAAGTAGTAGAAGTAGAAGTAGAAGTAGTAGTAGTAGTAGTAGCAGTAGTAGTAGTAGTAGTAGTAGTAGTAGTGTAGTAGTATTAGGCATGTGGGCCAGTGGCCTTGAATACGCCTTGGAGGCTACGCGGAAGCAAAATTGCTGGGATCTGCAGAAAAAAGAAAATGCAAAATACAGAAATGGGCCACTCCTGCTGCAAGCAGTTTGGGGGCATCTGCGGGCTGCGCGCGACTTGCGCGAAAACTTGTTCATCTTTAGGCATGGTGATGATGGTGATGATGATAATGATGATGATGAATCACTGTGTCACTTCACTTGCGCTTTACTTGCACGGCCCCATGTTTGACTTGCGCGGCCGCTCCTGCAACACACTCCTGCCCTTCAAATTACAAGCGGCGGTGCAGGTGATTTGATACGTCCAAAACGCCTGGGATCATGCCTTACATTGACACATACAACGGGTTTTCGTTTTCGGCTCCTTTCCCTTTGAAACTAAAACTCAGCTTCCCTCAAAGTGGGTGGCTCGCGGCCTCGCTTGGAGGTTCCCTCGTGGCGTGCGCTGAGGTTGTGGGGTTTCACCCTAGTTGCCCCCCAGAGACAGCTCAAATCCCACAGTTGAGGGGCAAGCTGAAACACCCGAGCCTTAATCCAACATGTTCTTGCCGGATCCAATTAAGTAGGTTTAAGATCGAACCGAATGTGTACAGGACCTGTGTGCCCTAAATCAGAAATCCCAAAAATCCAGTTGTCTTTACTTGTTCACCTGCTTTCTCTAAGAAAAAGGCAAATATCCAAGGCCAAACACATACACACACGCACACACACCCACCCCCACCCCCACCCCCACCCACCCACCCACCCACCCACCCACCCACCCACCCACCCACCCACCCACCCACCCACCCACCCACCCACCCACCCACCCACCCACGCACGCACGCACGCACGCACGCACGCACGCACGCACGCACGCACGCACGCCAAAACAAAAAGTAACTTCCTAAAGATGTTCCTTAAGTTTTTCCTCACTTGCTCCTTAGGGGCCTGGAACTTAAAGGACCTTTTGGAACCATGAGTTTAAAAGCTCGGCTTTGGCAAACGAGTTTCTCAGAGTCTTGACATTCAGGTAGAGTTTTGCTTCTTAGGGTGTCTAAAAACACAGCAAACAAAACGGGAGCCCCGTCGTTCTTGACCCTCGCCTCAGAACCCCCTACAACAGGTGGTTTCCTTATGGTTTTCTCAGAAAACAACAGCCCGCAACGAGTGGTGTCCCTCAAAAAGACAAGAATGCCACACCCAAATCCAACCCTCCCATTGGCTTAAAATTGCTGGAGAATTACACTTCACATGGAAGAGAGACCCACTTGAAATAGACAGCACCTGACAGGGACCTGGTCCCTTCAAGAGGAAATGTCATCCAGGTACCTCCCCACACATGCTTGACGTTGGAAGGGGAGCAAAAAAAATAAACTTTAAATAGCAGCTAAGTATGGATTTCCCACTAAACCACAACAAGCAAAAGTGCAAAATGTTGCCCAACAACAACCATGCGCAAGTGTCATGGGAAAGTGGGAGGAAGGCTTTGTCTTCGAGGGTACCCCTTTCGTGGGTCCTAAATGGCACGGATCCATTTCCTGAAGCGACGAACTTGTGGGTTGAATACGGAAACTCAACCGCACCAACTAAGAAACCCAAAAAAAAACCAAGGAACCGTGTTCTTTTTTATACGGAAACTCAACCACTGGAGAACCCAAAAAAAAGAACCTCAGGGAACCGGAGGATTCCCCGGTGACAGAACCCCTTTCGGGCCGCGAAACGTGGTCCCGTCATGGAAGGTGGCCACCGACATAGCGCCTTCAAGGAAGGTGGCGCTCTCCGGGATGCCCTCCCCACACTTGGTGAGAAGCATCACCTGCGATCTGATGGCTCCCTTTGGGAGGGGGGGCTCCTAAACGGAGGGGGGGGGCAATTGGGGCATGTGTCAAACCAAAAAACAACAAAGAAGCACCAAAAAATGGGGAGGGGGGGGGGGTGAGCACAGGGGAGGGGGCATTGGGGCACGCGCGCGCTTCAGCTGCGGGCTCCCGATACTCAGCTTCCCTCCAACCCGCAGGGGGCATTTGGGGCGTGGGTCAAGCTTCCAAGGGTTTCTTTTTAACCCGACCTTAAAGGGTCAGCTTCCCGGGCAAAAAGAAGGAACAAAATCTGATAGAAGCCACAAACCCGAATGCAAAAACGGGCTGAGGCTTTTGGGCATGGGTCAAGCCACAGCCCAACACATTGTGGTTTCCCAGCGGCGTCTCTTTAACCCAACCTTAAAAGTCAGCTTCCTTCGCAAAATCACCAATCCAATCCACAAACTAAAGGTAACTTGTTTGTTGTCCAACGAATTTAATGGACCCCATTGGTGGACATCATTTACTCTACAAATTAACGGAAGGAACGCACAAAAAGGGGTCCGATTCCCCAAAAGGAGATTCCGATGCTAAAAATGGACATGAAACTGGGGAGTAGCTGGCTCCAAACTCCTCTTTTTTGCCCGAAAAGCGACCATGTTGTTGAGAGTGTTCGGGTGGTCGGCCAAGTTCGTGTTAGCCACTTGGGATATTCCCCCCCAAGGTTACTCCCAGTGGCGGGGCCCCGGTATTAGGTGGGGAATCCGGTGTCCACCAAACGCTTTTGAGGGCAACTTCAGGCGGGCTGCAGGGAAACCACCTCGGCGTAGAGATATAAGGCGATCACCTTTTGGAAGCTTGACATGGTCCAGGGCCAAAAGGCGTGAAGCTTGACTCGCTTTGGGCTTTGGCGCCCGCGAGCTGACGAGCTGAGGCCCTGGGCGCCCGCCTTGTCGTTGTTGCCCAGGCCCTCCCCCTCGATCCCCGAGATGTTGCACAGCTGCCCCAGCTCGCAGAAGAACCGCTCCGGAGAATAGGTGGGCCACTTGATCTGCAGGATGCCCGCGTAGCTCAGGTACTGCGAAGGCAGGGTGCAATCAGACCCGTCGCTGCACCAGCACAGCCGATATCTCCCAGGGTTGGAGATGACCCGCTCCTGAGCTGCACTTCGGCATCCTTTTGCTGACCGGCAAACAAAAACGCCACCGCAACGCAAATAATACCAAATAATGCCTCCTGATTCCTGGGCCCATCCTACTTTCTTGGGCGGCGTCACCCACGAAAGTGATCCGGATCGATGAACCTCCTGGCGTAATGGCGCGTCTCGTGAGGCCAGTTTCGCAGTTTGGGGTTGCATCCCAAAGTGAGAAGCCCTGGATAGCATCCCATTCCCCATTCCTTTCAGGGGCATTTGGGCTTGTGAAGCAGGGGAGCCCGAGAAAAAACGGGGTGCTCTGCTTGGCTCGGACAGCCAGAAGACGTTGAAACCGAGAGCACGCTGTCACCAAGGAGAGCACAGAAAGAAGGAACGACGGCCAGAGCCGAGAAGAAGGCAAGAGAGCTCTAGATGACCTGTATCACGCGACAGGAGGAGGTGTTCCCAGGGCACCCCCTGATCCAAAAAGAGACCATCTTGCGAGGTGTGTCTGGGGGGTGTCTCCCAGGAAAAGTTCTACGAAAACCAAACAATTGCCTCATTTATCGAGCAAACGGATTGGATGCGCTTTCTGTGGTTTCCCCATGTTGTTTGGCTAGTTGTTCCTCCTTTAATACTCTTTTAGTACTTCCTGTTGCTTTCCTACAAGGGTGGATCCGCAAAACCTCATCCAAGCCGTTTCCTAGCAGTTAGGTCCCCCTCTAAAAAAAAAGAAAGGCAGACCTGGCGAGGTCCAGGTCGAGGCGCAGAGCCCCACTGGAAGTGGTGCCCATCTGCGGAGGGCAGGGACTGGCCATTCCTCGGTGGCGACATCTGCTCCCCAGGTGAAGTGACTCACTTTTAGTGGTGTGTCATACGGAAAACCTAACAGTTCAATGGTTTAACTTTTAGTTTAATGGATTAACTTTCAATGGTTTAATGGCTTAATACGCAAAACCCAATAGTTGGATGAAAAAGTGAGAAAGTCCTAACATCCCTTGGCAAAATGCAACACAGATTCCTGGGCATGCCCACCGGCGCCGCCGTGCCGCACTCCATTTCCGCCACACCCAGCTGGCTGGCGGGCGGCAAAGTGCCTGAAGATCAGATCAGGCAAGCCAAAAGAAGCACCAGTGTGGTTCGGTTGGAGCCCCAACGTGGCTCACCGGCTTTCCTTTGGGTTGCCCTTGAATTCCACACAAAACAACTTGTACCCTGAAAAAAGATAGTTTTGAGTTGGCACCCTGCTTTGGGGCGGTTCAAAGGGGAAACCAAAAGAAAAGAACAAACAGAGTCCTACACTTTGTACTCTTGGCTCGTTGCGCAACGAAACGAGGAGCAGAGTCAAAGAGCAGGTTAAGAAGCTTATGTCGCATTGCTCGAAGGAAAGCTCAATAGGCAAAAGGGCAAACAAGTCGTGAAACACATATTTCCACAACACCGTTTACCAACAAGTATGGGTGCGTCTTCTTTTAGAAACCCCCCCTTTCTCTTTTTTTGGCTTTCCTTCAAAACCCCTCAACCAATCACAAAACAAAACAGTAAACAGGTGCCCTCAAACAAATGAATGATTCTTTAACAGCCAAAGGAACACAACACCGCTCAGTATGTTGTTTGTTTGTGCGTTTCTTTTTTTGGGGGTCTCTCTGTCCAAAAGACACACTCATATACTCATTTGCTGGATGGAACACCCAAGTACGGTTACCTGCCGGTCCCATCAGAGGTGACTAGATTCCCCCAAGCCAAAAGTTGATCAACCCACCTGTGGTTTCCATTGAAGCCGCCTCTTTGAGAGGTTCCCTTTAAAGGGAACTGCCTCGGACACCCAAAAGAAGCGCGTAAGCGCCGTAGCGGCGTAGCACGGGGCCGGCCTTCCACGTGGGCGATCTCGCACTGCCGCATCCGGACGCAGCGGAACTGCTGCGCTGCCAAGGGCAGCACCGCGGGGCCCGTGACGATGAGCCGGCCGATGGGCACCAAGTAATCCTCGACAACCAAAAACTTACCCCTTAAAACTCCCTGCGCCCTGGGGAAGTTAATCTTTCAGAGACATATAGCCCATGTTACCCAAAAAGTTGAAAAGTTGTGTTTTTAAGAGGTAAGAAAAGGACACCTATGGAACCAGTTCAAAGGAAAAACCCGTTCGCTTCCCATTTGCTTCTTCCATATCTTTTGGCATTTCCTAATTATATGTGGAGCCGGGAATTGGGGTCCCTTTTGGGGAAGTAGATGGGCCTGGTAGTTGATTGAACCACCCGGTAAATCAGGAATCGCCCTCTATTGCTCAACCAAATCAACCAAAAGGACACCAATCGGGTGTAATCCTCGGACAACGCGAAAATCGAACACCTTCGGAAATGGAACCGAATGGAACCCTCAGAGCGGCTTGATGTTGACCCCGATTCTTTTTATAGAAGAAAAAACAGCCTTACGTATTAATACGGGGGACTTTCATGACTTTGGGCGGGGAACACCCCGCAAAATCAACTTCACCGGATCCGATCCGCCACACAAAAGTTGGGGTTTTGCCAGTTGAAGGGAACGTGAACTCACTTCCTGAGTGGATCGGCGAAAAAAGTCGAGATTTCCTACTTGCCAGGCCTCGGAGAATTTCACCACCTTTTTTTTAACTTACCCTCCTGTCCATGGAACCTGGCTGGGGAGTCCTAACGGGACACGCTCGGTGGGCAGAGTACCTGAACCAAACTAGTTCGCCTGGATCGTCAGTTGCTGCCTTTTTCCCAGAAACTGTCACTGTTGTATTTCTGGTAAAGTGTCCGGAAAAAAGCAGCGACTTGACTATCTAGGTATGATCATCGACAATTCTATGTGCGTGTTTGTTTCGCCCCTGATCTTCCTCCCCCCCCCACAGTTGCGACCATTTTGGGGGCAATCTCCCATGTTTAAGAGTATTCAATCCAAGGTCAGGTATTCCTTGGTTCTTGTACAGGCCAAATGGGTTTCCCACCCCTGGCCACCAAGCCACCAAGCCATCAATCGGAGGGTAGCTGCTAAACGGCAAGGCGTGGTGTCCACTTCCACTTTCCAGCTCCAAGCTGATAAAAATGGCCAGGGTGTCCCTTTCCAATTGGGTTTCCACTTGGAAAAAGCCATGACAAAATAAAATGAAGAAAGAACTATAACTTGAAGGAAAAAAGAGGGTGTCCACTTGGGAAAATCCAAGACAAGCACAAAAAAACCGCTTCCACTTGGAAAGCCAGCTTGGATCCAACCAAGACAATCCAAAAAAAAGATCCCCATTACCTGTGGCTCAAATGTACCCAACATGGCCCCCTTGGCAAATGGAACCGATGAGCCACCGCCGGGTGCCCCGTCCGAGGCGCGGCCGGGGACTTGCAGCCCACGGTGGTGGCGTCCGCCCCGCACCAGCACAGCAAGTAGGTCCCCGCGAAGGCCCACACCGGGCCCTCCCAGGACACGTAGCCCACCTAAGGCGCGAGGAAAAAAAAAGCGGGGAAAAACAAGGCGCGGGGTTTGTTTTGTAGCTCTCCCCCCCCCGCACAAAAAAAAAGACGGAACCCTCTGGGGGGGGGGGGAAGGCTTCGGGGCAAACAACAAAAAATACCCACTCTTTCTTGAACTTTGTTGTTCGTTCTATCCCCAATAGGCTCGGAACCGTCCGGAACTCCCTGAAAGCTGCGCCCAAACCACCCCAAAGCCTATCTGGGCAAGGACCCCGTAGCTTCCAGCTGTTGGGGCAACACAGAAGCTTCGGGTTTTCTAGACCCCCCAACCAAAAAACAAAAACGAGAATGGCTGCCCACCTGAAAGAAACAAAACCCGAGATGCGATGCACAAAAAACAAAGGCGCCTGGGTTTCAGGGACCCCCCACGAACATGAAGCTTCATTGATTCTCTTGGTTTCCCTGTCAAGCCTCAAAAATGGGTGCCGACTCAAAAAAGCACACGCCCATTTGCGCATGTGCTTTTTGAAAGGGTACCGGTTTTCGGTTGGTTGAAAAGGAAATGACACAGCAACCAAGCATGTGCCGGATTCCATTTTGACTGAACCCGTCACCCATGTTTTGTGCACACGTTTGTCCAGGAATCTCCGGAACTTTGGACGAGGGAGATCCATGAAGCTGGCTCGCGTGACGCGTGAAGGGCCGTATTGGCAACGCAGAGTCTCATGTGCTTGAAACATGACCTTACCCCTTCAAACTCCAAGCCCTGGGGAAGTTAATCTTTCACAGACATATAGCCCATGTTACCCAAAAAGTTGAAAAGCTGTGTTTTTAAGAGGTAAGTGACTCTAGGGGTTGCTTCCAATTCCATTATTTTCAACCATCGTTCTTTTGAAAAACCAGCTGTTTTTTTCCTGGGATTCTGATGGTTGGCTGAAAAGAAGGATCCCTGGAAAGAATGGGGGAAGTGTCCCCTAGAATCACCCCAAAGGATCTCGCAATTGATACCTAAATGACTTTCGAGGAATTCAAAGGGAGCAAATGCTTTTCCAAATGTTTGAGTGAGCCCGACCACCCGGCTTCCTGCCCCAAACGCATGGCGGACGCCCAGTTTCTATTTTACAGACTCCTTCTTTGGGGCATTGGATCTTAGCGCTGCCCAAAAGCAATGGGCCCTACTTGGTGTTCAACCAACTTTGCAAGCAGGTAATGTCCCCATGGTGACTGGGGTAACTGGGGCCAAGGTCCCCGTATAACCCAACAAGGCGATGTCTAAAACCAACCCAAAGGGGACACCCCTTCAATTAACGCCTATCCCAAAAAAACAGGCACCAACTCCAAAACGAGGGAACCGCTAAATGGAAAACCCCACCAAACACCAAAAAAGATCATTAAACAAACAAAAAAAACAAGCTAAGGAACCGGATGGCTGGGAGACACCAAGATCAGGTTCAGCCCCCCCTCCTCACGCCAAAAATCCTTCAGATCCCTCCCCCTCCCCAACCTTTCCCCGGCCCCCCTCGACCGCACCTTGGAGGAGGCCACGGAGAGGCCCATGTTGGGAAAGCCGTAGACCCCCCGGTCCGAGGCGTTGCCCGTGCCAGTTGGCGCAACCCCCGGCGCGCCTCGGAGAGAACGGAGGAGACCCCTGAGGGCAAAGGACGACGGAGCGTTTTTCGCACCAAAAAAAACGCACATAGACATACCAGACAGACATGAATAGACAAACTGCTACTAGAGACTAGGCAGAGATCAAAGAGACCTCTACATCTACATTGGCAGCGTCTTCTGTTTCATATAATTCATATAAATCTAGGTCTTCCAGTGGAGAGGTTAGAATAAGGGTACTATTTGTCTGTAGTCTATTTTAGTGGGGGAACCCTCGCAGGGCACTACTGGCGTCCCTAGAAATGCTTCCCAGGTACCACTTGCAATCCGGCCCTTCGGACCGCATCCTGTGCTTGGAACCCTTCATAAGCCTTGACTTTGGTCCACCTTCGGCAGACTTTGGTTCCGCCTTTTCGGTGGGATTCTTCACGGGCTCTTAGGAACAGGGGGCCGTAGCAAGCTTCACGGGCCCACAAAGAGGGGGCTTGGAGGAGTTGGTGGAAACTCATGTCAAGGACCACTCCTTGCCCAAATAATTACGCATGTCCGATGTACACGGGATGTTCATTCAACCTCGCAAAAACGCTTGGACGCTTTTCGAAATCCCCCGACGTCCCTTTGGATTGAAGGAAATGGCAAACAGCCAGCTTGCGGCTCCCGGCCCCAAACTTGTGCAGCTTCTCAAGCGGCCATGGTTGTCCCTTCGACTGAGGGGCCCTACACCACAATATCCATTTACGCCTCAAGCCCCCGATTTTCAAGCGACCATCCAAGCAATTCATGGAACCAAGGCGAGCAGTTTGATTGTACAAAGACAAGTGCATTTGGAGTTTCATGTCCCTACCCTTTGGCAAGCTGATTCTTAGTGGTTTGGTGTACTCTTTAGGCTTTGCACCGACTGACTCCAGGCAACGAGCGGTGCAAAATCCTGGACCCAAACCAACCCAAGCCACCCACAGAAAAACGATGCCAGTGTTCTCTCAAAAAATATTTGGGGGGAGTGCAGGTTGTCAAAAGCACTGGAAACCGGCAAGGCGGGTCCACTGGGTCCATTGATGTACGGCATCTGTGGTTCGGTTGGTCCCTTGCTAAAAGTACAGATCTCTTTCGGTGGGAGGTGCGAGAAATCCAACTCTGAAGTCTGAACCGGTACACGTCGATTCTCGCTGACACATCGCCCAGGTGGTTTCAAGAAGGAAACCAGACGTGAACTTCTGGAATTCTTCGCTTTCTCCTAAGCCAATGCTTCGTTGTTTTTGCCGCCACCTTGAACTTCGGACTTCTTCTCTTGATGGTGCTCAGCGCGATGAGTAGGGAATCTGGGAATGAACCGTTTTGGGATTCCCGAAAGGAAACCACCAGTTTCAGACTTTATACGGGTCATTCCCTCATTCCCACCACCAGTTGGATGGTTCATAAGGGTCATTCCATCTCTCATTCCCCGCATCTCTCGCACCGATCGCAAGTTTTGGCCCCAGAGAGGTGAGTCATAATCAAAACCGATCGGTACAAAAATGGTCGACCCAGAACCATACTTCAAGAATTAAGAAGGCGGCCGCAGCTATTTCTGGCCGGGATTCTCCCTACCTACCCTCCACGTACCCGGGTTTTGAGCGCGTGGCTCAGGTGGGTTTTTTTTCCCCTTCGCCGCCGAAAGCGCCAAAGGCGGAGAGCAGCTCCTGGGGGAGGTAGGGGCCATGGGTCATCCACCCCGCATCCGTCCAGCCGGGGCCCATCACCTCGGCGCCTGCAGCGTTTTTTTTTTTTTTCAGGTCGATCCAGGGAGTCGCCTTTGGGCTCCTTTTTCTTGATTTTTCGGCCTTCTCTGGTTGATCCAGGTATTCGTGCAATTTGCTTTTCACTTTTTTGGGGTCGGCCTTCCAACTACTGGCTTGGATTGGTTTTTGATGGCTCGGGGTGGGTTTAAGGGGTACCAGTTGATAGCCTCAGAACCCCCAGCCATGTACATTGAGGTGCCTCTGGAACATACCACAGCACAGGTGCGTGATTGGTAGATAGAAGCTATATATATATAAATACATAAAGTATGTGGGATAATTGTGGGATATAGGGGTACCTTTCCCAGATCAAGCTTTCCAATGTGGGGAAGCTTCTCAAAACAAGCATCTCCAGGCCTAAGCCCTTTTTGGAAGGGAGAATAAAGGCAATAAAAAATCACAGGGTCTCCTCCCTTCTGTTGCGGAAGCCGTTTCCTTTGTTGGGGGTATCTCAGCAAAGAAAGTGGGGGAGGGCCACTCACCTTGGGCTGAGTGCTCGTATGGGCATGAACTTTAATTGGGGACCCCTGGTGCACATCATTTTGGCGGGGGTTTTATGGTCACAAAACCGTTTCCAAGAATTCATTTGTCCAATTCATGGCCATATAATCATATAATAGTTTACGTTGGTGCAGTTGGTCCATTTGTCATCCAGAATGCGGGTCCCTGAATTCATCTGGGAAAATGGGAGATATCCCTCTAACAGCGTTCCCTCTTTTCTCGATGCAGGGGCTTGGGAGGGGCGACCGTTGCCTGAACATGGGCAACAGTTGGAAAATCAATGGAAAATCAAGGTCGATTTGGTCAATTCACTTTGAGCAATCATCCATGATTTTCCTGGAGAATTTGAATGCTCCGCGCGATCCACAAGAAAGGAGCGCAGTCATTCCAGAGAGGGAAAAAAAACACTTCTCGGGGCTCCCACGTGAATCTGCAAGGGGCATGGGTGTATCTTTTTTAAGGGGACCCCCCAAATTTGTGGTTGTCTGTTTGTTTCCCGTTAACACCCACAAAACAGGTACCCGCGAAGAACCGCACGCCTTGACAAGACCGAAACACTAGTATAGGCCCATTCGCATGGGTTTTCTCGGCCGGCGGACCCCTTGCGTGGCTGAACAGCCGCCCTCAAAGAAAAACCTAAAGGGGCCCTTGGGTTTGTTTAAGAAAGGACATCTTTAAGCCAGGGTCATGCCCGTGGAGAAATGAAGGACCGCCTCCTTCGCTTGTTTGAACCACTCCTGTTCACAAAAAAAATGTATTTCGAGTTCCCCGACGTTTAACGGGCCCATGGCCAGTTTGCTTCAAAGCCAATGTTGCAACCAACCCTGACAACCACCCTTGATCGATTCACGTTGCCTCCCTTGCCTGCGTTTCCCTACCTAGGAAACACAAATGGATTCCACAGGCAAAATAAGTCTCGAACCAACCTGAAACCAAATCCATCTGCTCCAACTGATCTTTGAAAAGAACACTTTAAGACTACACCACCACCACCACCCAAAACAAAAAACGCCACCCCCCTCACCCCCACTACAAAAAATAACACCGGCCCCCCAAAAACCGCCGCGCCCCCCAAACAAACAAAAACAGAACAACAAGAAATCAGGCGATCGGTTGAGCCACCAGCCCAGAAAAGCTGATCCTGACTGTCACAAGAATTCCAATGCCCGCTTTCCGCGTCTATCCATCCGCCAGCCGCGCCTTGCGCCCAGCCCAGCGGCGGGCGCGCGGCCTGGCCGCAGCTCGGCAGCGCGGCCACGCGGTCGCTGCCCTGCAGGCCTTCGCCCAGCACCCGGGGCACCACGCCTCGGTTCGCGCGAAACGACCGCCGGAGACCCCGAGGAAGTTGGGCCAACTTTCTTTTTTTTGGGGGGGGGGAGGGCAAAAGGGGATGAAACGAAAGAGGGCGGACCAAACATGGCGGACCCAAACATTGGAGCAACTTGTTCGCTGGGGAGGGGATGAAACCAAAGTGGCGGAGGCGTCAGAGACCCCAAACGATGTTTTTTGGGAGGTTTGAGAGATGAAGCCCAAAAGTGGTGGACCTTTAAAAAGTCGGGGAACCACAGAAATGAGGTTTGCCCGAGGTGAGACCCCAAGGAAATTGGACCAACCTCTGTGAAAAGGTAAGGGGATGAGGATGAAACCAAAGTGGCGGAGGTCTCCAACGTGTTTTTTCTTTGGGGGGGGGGGTGTTGGGCGATGACCCGAAAGTGGCGGACGGCCAAAAAGTCGGGTGACCCCCTAAGAAAAGCTTCCCCTGTGGCAACATGGGGCCGAAACCTGCGGTCCAATTCCCGAATGACTCACACCTCAGGGAAGCCGAGCGGATTCACAACGGACCAAGCTCGCCGATTTGGCCAACCCACTGGCCATGAAATTCTTGGTGCCTAAGAAGATGGGTTTAACGGAAGTATTTGCGCAAACTGACATGAAACCGCATCTGCTTGCTTGGTTCCACCTGAATCTAAGGAGTACGTAGCCTCTCAAAAACAAACATAGCAGAACCTGCACAGGGGCCCTTGAACAAAAGAAAGAAGGTGGTGACTTGCTGGTGCTGAGTAGGGAATGCGGGAATGAACCCACAAATCCCCTTAAAGGAAACCACCAGTTGGATGGTCGTTTTTCTCGGGGTCAGACTCCATGTCTCCTTCTCTGCATCTCTTGCACCGATCGCCCGCAAAACCATTCCAAACCTGCCATTTGCTTAAGCCCCCTGGAAAAGTCCAGTAGGGATAGTTTCCCTTTTAAAACCAACAGGAGAAAAACTATTCCTACGCAAAACCGAACCAACGTCTGCTGGCCAGGGCACAGTCCACCCCCAGCCTGCAGGAGCTGTCCGGCTGCCCGGCCGGACCCACCACCACCAGCTTCCCTCCGGGCGACAAGAAGGCGCCCCCGTCCTGCGGGGGTTGACGCACGAAGGCCATGGGATATTTTTTTCCGGGGACCTGGGCGCCAGCTGCCCTCGGAACGCTTGTCGCTTTTAAAGTTGGTTGAAAGGCTGGTTAAAAGGGGGCAAACCAGCATGGAGCCACTTCTGTTCATGCACTTGCCAATTAGGTGAGCAATCCAGACACAGCTGACCCAGCCTCCCCAAGCGTGGGATGGAAAACGCTTGAACCACGGGTGTTCCAAAGCTGCTGGTCCCGTTCAACCTCTTTTTACACTCACAACCTCGTTGCTCTTTCCGACCCCTGTTCTAAAGCAGAATTGAAGCCACAAAACTGTCAAACAACGACCTCCTTTTCCCTTTTACAAAAAAGGTTGGTAACAACTTTGAGAGGACAGGTTGGTAACAACTGCCCTGGCTGACAATGGTTTATGTGGGCCTTGCTATAACCCAACCCTTAAAACCAGGAAGTAGAACCACTCAGTGTGTGTGTGTGTGTGTGTTTTTTTTGGGGGGGGGTCTTGACATTGTGGTTTTCCTTTTGGTCGTCTTGCATATACCCACGCTCAAATCTCCTTCTTGGGGTGGGGGGGGTCAGGCGTTCTCAAATGGCTGCAGGTCCCGTCTTCTAGCGGTTTTTAATTTGGACCCCTAATCAATATGTGTCCTCTGCACGCACCGCCGGGCAGGGCGGTGGGATGATGCCGTCCGGCTGGCGGTAGTCCTTCCCAGGCACTCGCGTGATTCCTGGCGTCTGGCGCGTCTGAGGCTCGGGCCCTGGGAGCCACTAAATGTAGACCAGGTCGATTCGCTTTGGGCAAGTGAGATGAACCTATGATATCATTGGCTGAGCGGCCCAATGCCCTGAACAGGTTTTCCCTTCTGGTCCCTGCTAAAAAAAAGAAAAGAAGTTCATAGTTCCCCAAAAAGATACCCTCCCACCGACTAACATGGAGACTGACGTCGAACGGTTCGTCTCCAAAACCCGCAGGCCGCCCTAGATCCGCTCAGCGGAGTACAGATGAGTGTGGCTCGCCTTTTTGTGGGAGTTGGTGACCCCTTTTGCCATGAAAGGGACAACAAAGGGACAACAAAGGGAAAACCGACATACACACCCAACTCCGTTGAATATATGTATGTGTTATGTGTGTGTGTGTGTCTGTGTGGTTTTCGTTAAAACCCAAAAAACAAAAACAAAACGCACCCACATGTCGCCCACTCGGTCCTTGTGGCGGGGGCCCGCACCAGCAGAGGTTGTACCGCCCGCCGGCCACGATCAGAGGCTCACCGTGGAAATGATACATATCCACGGCCTGAGGAACCGCTGAGTCAGAAAAATCTGTCCAACCCACCACACCAGCTGAACACTTCGACCGACCCCTCCCTTTGCTTTTTTGGGGAAAAAAAGGTAATGACCGATTCCCTTAAAGCCAACAGGGGAAAATCAACAAGTGAAGCAACCCGTTCAGCTCTCCCCCAGTTCGTGCCTTGGATGGGTGGGTTTGTGGTTAAGGGGTGGTTTCCCATTTACCCTCCACAAGGACCAGGGTTCAAATCACCAAACCACCAATCTAAACCACCAACCAAAGAAATACCACCGCCTTGGTATGTTAGCAAACAACCTTGTTTTTTGAAAAAACCCTAAACATGAACAGAATAATAACAGCACAAAGGCAAAATACTTGCCAAAAAGGCTGAAGAATGTTACCACTTCCTTTCAAGGCTAATCAGGGGTCAGCATTAACCCCGCGGTTGCTGGGTGTGAGCTATTTCGCGATAGCTCGTTTGGAGACTTGAAAACGCTTGAAGCAACACTCTAAATCAGTTCAGGCGACCCTTTGGTGGTTTGGATTGGTTGGAATTGAAGCCCTGGCTTTCATAAAGGGTGAATGGGACTCCAAAGCACCAAGTCTGGCAACCCTTTCTTGAGTTCAAGCCCCGGTTTTTTATTCTTCTGTTGGGTGAAGGGAGGGCTCGGAAAGCCGAAGCCATTTTGCAACCACGACACCCTGAATTGGGCTTTTGCGACCAAGGGCGAGGGAAAGAAAAAAAGAAGCTCGGACGCAGCAGCCGCAAGGAAGCATGTGGGACTTTCACGCGAAACTGGGCGAAAGGTCAAAGAACCATCTTTCAAAGTTAGGACAAAGGACCCAGAGACAAAAGATTCACTTCACTGGTGGCATGGCGTTCGATTTTTTGATTCTTTTCCGAGTCTTCCTTCGTAGGGAGCAGCAAAACGAAAAAGGTCGCTTGCCATCATGCCAAGGATTGCCAAGCTAACCCGAGTCACCAACACCGGTCACACCTCCGGTCGCTTCGCTTCTTGAAACTTCGGCCCCTCGAGCCGCAAACGAGACCGGGCCTGGTCGAAGGTCTCGGACACGCCCACGTTGGGGAAGTCCAGGAGCCCCTGGCGCCGCTTTTTTTGTCTTGGTTGCAAGCGCTCAAAGCTGGTTGCTGTCCGTGGCTGGGATCTGCGAGTGTGGCAAACACTTTGAGGGTGTAACATACGGAAAAAAACTCCCACGACAATCCCCACCAAACTCCCCAAAAAAAAGAAAACGGGTTGGCTGAGAACCCGCCAAGAAGCATGCTTCAAACCCACAAAAGCTCGGCCCCATGGTCTACACAGCCTCCCGCAAGTGGTGTCCGGTGCAATCGCCACAAAACCACCGCCGCCTCAGCTTGTCCCTTTCATAGAAGCATGCTTCAAACCCAAACAAACTCCATGGCCTACACACTCTTTCCCTTGTGCAAACCGTACAATTTCAACCACAAAACGAGAAACTATTGTACAACAACCACCTCAACTTGTCCCTTTCATTCAGTGGCCCAGGGTTGAAACAAGTCTCAGCAAGACACAAGTGTTCAACAACCACCTCCGCTTGTTGCTCTTCTTTTTCCCCTCCCAAGCTCCACAAGTGGCGTCCGGTGGAACTTCAGCCAACCACCGCCTCAGCTGGTCCCTTTCTTTCCGTGGCTGCTTACCAACTCTGCCAGCCTGAGGGTCTGCCTGGCTCTTGCGGCGCCACAGGCAGCCCAGGGGATCCTCCGGCAGCACCACCAGCCGGGACCCGTTCTGGATGGCCTGGCGTCAGTTGGGTGTGTTTTGTCGCTAGGCCCCCCAGCTAGGTGCCAACTTTTACCGTTTCTTTTTTGGTTGGGAGGGAAACCCCTGAACTGTGGCCCCTAGCATGTTCCATGGGACTTTTTTAAGAGGGGCGTTGGTGTTTGTTTTTCTCAACGCGTCGCCTTGGTGTTGGCTCATTTCCCTCTGGGGTTACTGGACAGCTGCCCTTTGTGAACCAAGTGGCTGAGTAGCTCAGAATGGCACATAAGGGAGTGTCATAACCCAGCATTTGGGAGGGTCCCCTCAACAAAGGACAGTGTCTGTTTTTGAGGGTACCTGTTCTTTTGGTGGTTTCAGGGAAAGCCAACAGGAAAAAAAACATCATTTGGGAGGGTCCAACCTAACCTAGGTCCTCCAGATTTCAGAGGTTAGAATTAGGGGTTAGAATCAATGAAACCTGGCATTTGGCAGCTTGTTTGCTTGCAGGTGGGCAAACAAGGCATTGAACATGGAGGCCAAACAAAAGTCGCAACCACCCTTCATGAGCAACCAACAAAAATGATCAAACTCATCTCACCCCCAAAAAATGCCCAGGTCAAACCTTGTTGAATGAAACTCACATGGCCGTGAGTCAAAAGCCCACACCCGCAGTGAACATCCCAATCCCCACTAAAATAGGTTCTAAAATGGGTGAATTCACCTACCGACCCAAATCAAATCCCAAAACGGTTTTGGACCCACAGCCGCCTTTCATGAGAAACCAACAAGAAATGATGAAAATAATCTACCCCCCCCCCAAAAAAAAAAACACAAAAAAAAACACCAGGTCAAACCTTGCTTCATGAAACCCACCTGAAAACCGCCATGGGAGCCACTGGGCCCGGGCCCGGGCTTCGGGTTTGGCGCCCGGGCCCCGCCTGCCCGGTGAAGGGCACGGAGCAGGGCAGCCCGGCGCGGCAGATCGACTCCGCGGAGGCCTCCGGAGCTCCGAAGCCCCGGCGGGGCCGAAGCGAGCGGGTCGGGTGCCGAAAAACTGCGTGGCCTTTTCGGAAAATTCGATGGCCCTACAAACAAGGGGAATATCAGCAAAAAAAAACGGCGCCAGCTTGAAATTGGTGTGTCTCATGCAAAGATCATCCATCTCAGCTGGATTTAGTGTGACCAGCTTTTTGGGGGTTTAGTGGAAAACAACTTGATTTCACCCAAAAAGTTGAAGTCTAAAGATCCAACCCAGTAGCAGTCAAGAGATGGCCCTGGAGAATGGGGGGAAAAACATCTAAACCAGTGGAACCCATCTATTTCTAATCAAGCTGACCTAAGGTTTGGCCGCTGAGTGGCTTCGTGCCATAGGAATGACCCGAGTCCGGGTGGGAAGGAACGTGATTTGTAGAATTTCCCATAGAGGATGGACCATGGGGCTATGGGAACCCAGGTTGGGAAAATGACCGAGTCCATTTGCTTTCTTGCCCCCTAGGAAAAATATGAAATATCCAGTAGTGAAATCGATTCCCTCATTTTGTGCTCAGAACCGGCAAGTGTGAGTTGCAGCAGCAATCGTTCCTCAGCACGTTAGGGTATAACCCGCTGCAACAGGGTTGACCTTGTTAGGGAAATGGCCCACCTACAAAAGGACACCTAGAAGGTGACAGCAGGGTTTTTCACCACAAAAACCCAGTTTAGCCAGGTCTTGGGTGTTCGTCGCCAAGTTAGTAAGTTGCTGGTAACTCAGGCTATGATCCACTGATAAATCCCCTAAATAGGGCTAACCTTGTTTCAGGGGGGCAATGCCCAACTTGAAAACCACTTTCCAACTTGGCAACGAACATCCAAGTATATCATGTCTTTGGCGATGCACCCCCTGCCCTCTACCTAACATATCATGGAAGTGGACGTTTTGGGGCCCCCAAAAGGGCAGCACGTCCAAACACCCAATGTCAGCGTCCCATGATTGTTGGAGGGAGGCTGAAAAACGTCACCGTTGTGGCATTGACCGTCGGGGGTAACCCAAGTGGCGGCTATCCACTTAACCGCAACGAACATCCAAGCCCTTTGGCCCCCACGTGCTACTTTATCACTTACATCACCTAGCACATACCTAGCGGATTCCCTTGCTATCACCGGAATTTTCACCACTTTGTCACCTTCTTTTTCCGCGATTCCGGTGGTACCCCATGATTTGTATTGCTGCGGAGTCGTTGCTTGGAATGGCAACCTAAAATTCCAAGCATGTTTTGATGTTTTTGGGGAGTCACAGCAATTGGTCCTACCAAGCCTCGTGATGGGACAACTCGCCCAGAGTTAGGCAGTGGTTGAGGCTCCCATTACCTGGATCGAAAATATCCCAACATGTCAAGCGCTTTGCCAAGTCAAGCAATGGAATTCGCTCAAGTGTGGTTGTTTGCAAAACCGCCTAAATATGATGCCCAATCCACACACACACACAATCCCTGGAAACAGACCACTGCAAAGGGGACCACCTCCTGTAGTACCCCAAGTCAAGAAGTAAGGATTGCCTTTGACCAGCCTCCCTATGTGGGGAAAAAACAAAAAAACAATATGCTTCCGATTCCAGCTTCTGAATGGCACAATTTGCGAACGGACCTCGGGTGCCTCGGCGGGCCAACACCGCCAAAGGGGTTTCCCCCACCGATCCGCGCTCCGCTCGACCCGCGCTTCGAGCGCTTCGAGCGCTTCGATGGGTTCGACTCGGCGCTCTGCGCCTGGAGCTCGGAAGGCCCTCCGAAGTGCAGCGGCCCCAGACGCACCGCGAAGTCCGCCTCGTGGGCGCAGCCGGACTCCGACTCCGTGCCGTTGCACCAGCCTCCGCTCTTCGGTTTTTGCGAGCGCGCGCATGCGGAAGCGCTCCGAAGGGGAAGGCCCCGAGAGAGAAAGAAAAAAAAAAGCGAGCCGAAGGTGTGGCTTCTAGTTTTCGCGGCCTGGCAGAAAAGACCTATGGGTGTGCTGGGTGTGGTTACCGATCGCCTTTTTTGAGCGTTTGGTTGGCTGAGGGGAACTGCGCCCTGTTGCAGTCCCATATGCTACATCCCCCCGCCCCTCCCCCCAATCAAAAAAAGGAAGAAGGAAAAACAAGAAACAGGAAATAACAGGAATCAGGCGATCGGTTGAGTTACGAGCCCAGAAAAGCTCCTCCTGACTGTCACAAGAACCCTGAGGCGTAGGGAATTCCACCCCCCCCCAGGCTTATGCATTGCCAGGCCTTGGCCGAGCCGCATGGCACCATTCCCGGTGTGGGTACCGATTCCATGGCAGCTCCCAGATTTTGTTTGACTTGGTTCCATTGACAGTGGCCATGCTTAGTCTGCGGGAGTGTGAGGTTGCCCCAAGGATTCTCAACGAATTCTCCTGCGGATCCCAGCACCATGGATTTGTCTACTTGTCTCAGGCTTTCATGGCCCAACAGAACCCAACGCCCCCCCCTTTTCCCCCCCCCAACAAAAAAAAAAGCGCTGGAATAGGCATGTTTGACATTTGTTCAAGCAGAAAATGCTCCCGGGCCCTCCCTCCAGCAAGTCGAACGGCATCTGGCAAAAGAAGATCTCACGAGTGGTTTTCAACTTCCAGGCTAATATGCAGCGCAGTCTATGGTGGGTCCCTGAAAGGGGAGGCACTTTTGGGTAGGAACTTTGATTGGGAGTTGGGAAGCGCAGCCAAATGCAACCATGGTTACAACTGGGGTGACTGGGGTTAGTCCCGATCCGTGCTTATGACCTACAATGCCGTTTGAACACCCAAATAAGGTTTGAGGGGGTTCTTAAAATGTCAGGAGAATTGACTTCATCGCCTTTTTTTCTTTGGGGGGGTGCCCGATTTTGAGACGAGCCCATTTGCGGGATTTCTCAAAGGCATGATCGGATCGGTCTCAGAGGTGTTTCTGAACTTTGAAGTTGGGGGGCTTCTGGACATGGATCTTTGCACCCGAGGCCCCGGATTCAGGAACAAAGCCAAGACGGGATTCGCTGCAAGTCCTCTTGGGCTCAAAAAAATGAGACCCTGCGTGCTATGACTTTTTTCTTGGAGTGGGTAAACCATAGACCACAGGTGCCTCGCTTTCGGGTCCAGGTGTTCAAACACCAACAACAGCTCTATAGAAGTGACAACGAATCGGACGGTGATGCTCATTGCAACGTTTTGCACGTGGGATTTCCGCCTAAACACATGAATACACCATTAACTACATGCCCAGAAAGGTTCTCGGAACCCTACCTTGGATGTTCCCTAAGCCAACGGTGTGACCAGACCGCATATCTAAAGCTTATTCACCCCTAATTTCCCCTTAATGTAGTGCTTGGCCTGTTTAAGGGTATTGTGGGTGGACAACATCCTGCAAATGTTGGGATGGAGAAAACCCATTTATGCAACTCGCCAAACCCAACTGGTGGGAAGTGGAATTTGTCCACAAACACACTATGTTCCAGGGGTCTCCATTTACGAGTGGTTTCCATTGAGACTATCGCCCCTTTTGGAGGTTTCCTTTTATTGGGAAATGGCGCGCAAACCCCGGGTCAGCAACTTATATTCCAAAGATATGTTCCCGGAACCTCTGTGCTCTAGAAAACAGTCCGGATGTGGCTTTGGTGGATCCACCCCCGCAGGATGCCGAAAGACTAAAAGATTGCTACACAAAGGATCAACCGGTGGAAGCACGGGTGAAATCCAACACAAACCAGCGCACATCAGGGATCCGGATGCATTATAAACCTGAGCATTGCCTTGTAAATGGTGGGCTTCTCTTTGTTTTGGTGTTGAAAAAGCAACATGTTTCAATTGGTTGCAACATGTATCTCATGTATCTTTTAAGGAGCCCTGCGCATCCAAAGCTGCTTTCTAGACTCTATGAGCTTGATGAACAGCTGCTCTATGAACAGCCGCTCGGGGCTTCCCAAAGACTAACCCCCCATAAGGGGGAGATTCCCTTGCACACTGGGGATAAACCTCTTGTGATCCCACAACCCAGTGGCACCAGGTGAAATCCACGAAAAAGGGACCAACCGGTGGAAGAACAGGTGAAGTCATGTGAAATGAAAACAAAAAGCACAACTTCTCTGATTCCGAAATCAAAAACCGGTGAAGGAAAATCCCACAATACCAAGAAAAATATCCTAGCAATCCCAATCCACACCAAAGAACCAGGTGAAAGCCACGAAAAAAAGACCAACAAACAGAAGAACAAGTCAAAATCCACGAAAAAGAAGAAGCAAACCCCCAAACCGTTTTAAGAAATGCACAGCCATAGGCGTCCGTTTGGAAAATAGATGGCCCTGGCCAATAGAACCAAAGCCCATCTAAACCAGTGGAACCCTTCTAGTTTTAATCAAACAAACCTAAAATGGACACCTACGGTGAACATTCTATGTGAAAATCCACGAAAAAGAAGAAGCAAATCCCCAAACTCCCAATCCACATCAAAGAACAGAGATGAAACCCAGAATAAAGGACCAACAAATAGAAGAACAGGTGAATTTGCTGTGTGAAAATCCACGAAAAAGAAGAGGCAAATCCCCAAGCCGTTCTTCTAGATGCCCAATTCTCTCTCTCGTGCCACTGGCGTGGGGGCACACTGAACAGCCAGCAGCCCAATTGAGAACTGGTGTTTTTTTGTTCACGAAAAGGCCGCAAATCCCCAAGCCCTTCTTAGATGCACAGCCTCTCCGATTGCAGCGAGCCGCAGAGGTCGTATGTCCCCCCGAAGGCGATCACCGGCTCCTGCCACGCGAAGTCGCGGCCGAGGCCGCCGTAGGGCGTGGCCACGCCGCCCGAGGGGAAGCCGACCACCCGGTGCCCGAGGCCCACCGAGGCTTTGTAGGTGCAGACCTCAGGTCAGAATGCAGACGGGGCGGGGGGGGGGGTATTCTTGTGTGTGTGTGTGGTGTGTGTGGTGTGTTGTGTTGTGCTGTGATTTGTTGTGTTGTGTTGTGTGTGTGTGGTGTGTGTTGTGTGTGTGTGTGTGGTGTGTGTGTGTGTGGTGTGGTGTGGTGTGTGGTGTGTGGTGTGTGTGGTGTGTGTGTGTGTGGTGTGTGTTGTGTGGTGTGGTGTGGTGTGGTGTGTGTGTGTGGTGTGGTGTGGTGTGTGTTGTGTGTGTTGTGTGTGTGGTGTGTGTGTGTGGTGTGTGTTGTGTGTGTGTGTGTGTGGTGTGTGTGTGGTGTGGTGTGGTGTGTGTGTGGTGTGGTGTGGTGTGTGTTGTGTGTTGTGTGTGTGGTGTGTGTGTGTGTGGTGTGTGTTGTGTGTGTGTGTGGTGTGTGTTGTGTGTGTGTGGTGTGTGTGTGTGTGGTGTGGTGTGGTGTGTGTTGTGTGTTGTGTGTGTGGTGTGTGTGTGGTGTGTGTTGTGTGTGTGTGTGGTGTGTGTTGTGTGTGTGGTGTGTGTGTGTGGTGTGGTGTGGTGTGTGGTGTGTGTTGTGTGTGTGGTGTGTGTGTGGTGTGTGTTGTGTGTGTGGTGTGGTGTGGTGTGTGTGTGTGGTGTGGTGTGGTGTGTGTTGTGTGTTGTGTGTGTGGTGTGTGTGTGTGGTGTGTGTTGCGTGTGTGTGGTGTGTGTGTGTTGTGTGTGTGTGTGTGTGGTGTGTGTGTGTGTGGTGTGGTGTGGTGTGTGTTGTGTGTTGTGTGTGTGGTGTGTGTGTGGTGTGTGTTGTGTGTGTGTGTGGGGTGTGTGTTGTGTGTGTGTGTGGTGTGTGTGTGTGGTGTGGTGTGGTGTGTGTTGTGTGTTGTGTGTGGTGTGTGTGCGGTGTGTGTTGTGTGTGTGTGGTGTGTGTGCGGTGTGTGTGGTGTGTGTTGTGTGTGTGTGGTGTGGTGTGGTGTGTGTTGTGTGTTGTGTGGTGTGGTGTGTGTTGTGTGTTGTGTGTGTGGTGTGTGTTGTGTGTGTGGTGTGTGTGTGTGGTGTGTGTGGTGTGTGTGGTGTGTGTGTGGTGTGGTGTGGTGTGTGTTGTGTGTTGTGTGTGGTGTGTTGTGTGTTGTGTGTTGTGTGTGTGGTGTGTGTGTGTGGTGTGTGTTGTGTGTGTGTGGTGTGGTGTGGTGTGTGTGGTGTGTGTTGTGTGTGTGTGTGGTGTGTGTGTGTGTGGTGTGTGTGGTGTGTGTTGTGTGTGTGTGTGGTGTGGTGTGGTGTGTGTTGTGTGTTGTGTGTGGTGTGTTGTGTGTTGTGTGTTGTGTGTGTGGTGTGTGTGTGTGTGGTGTGTGTTGTGTGTGTGTGTGGTGTGTGTGTGTGGTGTGTGTGGTGTGTGTTGTGTGTGTGTGGTGTGGTGTGGTGTGTGTTGTGTGTTGTGTGTGGTGTGTTGTGTGTTGTGTGTTGTGTGTGTGGTGTGTGTGTGTGTGGTGTGTGTTGTGTGTGTGTGTGGTGTGTGTGTGTGGTGTGTGTGGTGTGTGTTGTGTGTGTGTGGTGTGGTGTGGTGTGTGTTGTGTGTTGTGTGTGGTGTGTTGTGTGTTGTGTGTTGTGTGTGTGGTGTGTGTGTGTGTGGTGTGTGTTGTGTGTGTGTGTGGTGTGTGTGTGTGGTGTGTGTGGTGTGTGTTGTGTGTGTGTGGTGTGGTGTGGTGTGTGTTGTGTGTTGTGTGTGGTGTGTTGTGTGTTGTGTGTTGTGTGTGTGGTGTGTGTGTGTGTGGTGTGTGTTGTGTGTGTGTGTGGTGTGTGTGTGTGGTGTGTGTGGTGTGTGTTGTGTGTGTGTGGTGTGGTGTGGTGTGTGTTGTGTGTTGTGTGTGGTGTGTTGTGTGTTGTGTGTTGTGTGTGTGGTGTGTGTGTGTGTGGTGTGTGTTGTGTGTGTGTGGTGTGGTGTGGTGTGTGTTGTGTGTGTGTGTGGTGTGGTGTGGTGTGTGTGGTGTGTTGTGTGTTGTGTGTTGTGTGTTGTGTGGTGTGTTGTGTGTTGTGTGTTGTGTGTGTGGTGTGTGTGTGTGGTGTGTTGTGTGTGGTGTGTTGTGTGTGGTGTGTTGTGTGTTGTGTGTTGTGTTGTGTGTGTGTCTGTGTTGTGTGTTGTGTGTTGTGTGTTGTGTGTGTGGGTGGGTGTGTTGGTGTGTGTTGGTGTGCTTTGGTGTGCTTTGGTGTGGGTTGTGTTGGTGTGTGTGTGTGTTGTGTGTGTTGTGTGTGTGCTGTGTGTGTTGTGTGTGTGTGTTGTGTGTGTGTGTGGTGTGTGTTGTTTTTGTATGTGTTGTGTGTGTGTTGTGTGTGTGTTGTGTGTGTGTTGTGTGTGTTGTGTGTGTGTGTTGTGTGTTGTGTGTTGTGTGCTGTGTGTTGTGTGTTGTGTGTTGTGTGTTGTGTGTTGTGTGTTGTGTGTTGTGTGTTGTGTGTTGTGTGTTGTGTGTGTGTGTTGTGTGTTTTGTGTTGTGTGTTGTGTGTGTCTGGGTCTGTGTGTGTGTGGGTGTGTGTGTGTGTGTTGTGTGTTGTGTGTTGTGTGTTGTGTGTTGTGTGTTGTGTGTTGTGTGTTGTGTGTTGTGTGTTGCGTGTTGTGTGTTGTGTGTTGTTGTGTTGTGTGCTGTGTGTTGTGTGCTGTGTGTTGTGTGTTGTGTGTTGTGTGTTGTGTGTTGTGTGTGTTGTGTGTTGTGTGTGTGTGGGTGTGTGTGTGTGGGTGTGTTGTGTGTTGTGTGTTGTGTGTTGTGTGTTGTGTGCTGTGTGCTGTGTGCTGTGTGTTGTGTGTTGTGTGTTGTGTGTTGTGTGTTGTGTGTTGTGTGTTGTGTGTTGTGTGTTGTGTGTTGTGTGTTGTGTGTTGTGTGTTGTGTGTTGTGTGTTGTGTGTTGTGTGTTGTGTATTGTGTGTTGTGTGTTGTGTGTTGTGTGTTGTGTGTTGTGTGTTGTGTGTTGTGTGTTGTCTGTTGTGTGTTGTGTGTTGTGTGTTGTGTGTTGTGTGTTGTGTGTTGTGTGTTGTGTGTTGTGTGGTGTGTGGTGTGTGGTGTGTGGTGTGTGGTGTGTGGTGTGTGGTGTGTTGTGTGTTGTGTGTTGTGTGTTGTGTGTTGTGTGTTGTGTGTTGTGTGTTGTGTGTTGTGTGTTGTGTGTTGTGTGTTGTGTGTTGTGTGTTGTGTGTTGTGTGTTGTGTGTTGTGTGTTGTGTGTTGTGTGTTGTGTGTTGTGTGTTTTGTGTTGTGAGTTGTGTGTTGTGTGTTGTGTGTTGTGTGTTGTGTGTTGTGTGTTGTGTGTTGTGTGTTGTGTGTTGTGTGTTGGGTGTTGTGTGTTGTGTGTTGTGTGTTGTGTGTTGTGTGTTGTGTGTTGTGTGTTGTGTGTTGTGTGTTGTGTGTTGTGTGTTGTGTTTTGTGTGTTGTGTGTTGTGTGTTGTGTGTTGTGTGTTGTGTGTTGTGTGTTGTGTGTTGTGTGGTGTGTGGTGTGTGGTGTGTGGTGTGTTGTGTGTTGTGTATTGTGTCTTGTGTGGTGTGTGTTGTGTGGTGTGTGGTGTGTGTGTGTGTGTGTGGTGTGTGGTGTGTGTGGTGTGTGTGGTGTGTGTGGTGTGTGTGGTGTGTGTGGTGTGTGTGGTGTGTGTGGTGTGTGTGGTGTGTGTGGGGTGTGTGGTGTGTGTGGTGTGTGTGGTGTGTGTGGTGTGTGTGGTGTGTGTGGTGTGTGTGGTGTGTGTGGTGTGTGTGGTGTGTGTGGTGTGTGTGGTGGGTGTGGTGTGTGTGGTTTGTGTTGTGTGGTGTGTGTGTGGGTGTGTGGTGTGTGGTGTGTGTGTGTGTATGGGTGTGGGTGTGTGTGGGTGTGTGTGTGGTGTGTGTGTGTGGTGTGTGTGTGTGGTGTGTGGTGTGTGGTGTGTGGTGTGTAGTGTGTGTTGTGTGTTGTGTGTTGTGTGTTGTGTGTTGTGTGTTGTGTGTTGTGTGTTGTGTTGTGTGTTGTGTGTTGTGTGTTGTGTGTTGTGTGTTGTGTGTTGTGTGTTGTGTGTTGTGTGTTGTGTGGTGTGTGGTGTGTGTTGTGTGGTGTGTGGTGTGTGGTGTGTGGTGTGTGGTGTGTGGTGTGTGGTGTGTGGTGTGTGGTGTGTGGTGTGTGTTGTGTGTTGTGTGGTGTGTGGTGTGTGTTGTGTGTTGTGTGTAGTGTGTTGTGTGTAGTGTGTAGTGTGTTGTGTGTTGTGTGTTGTGTGTTGTGTGTTGTGTGTGTTGTGTGTTGTGTGTTGTGTGTTGTGTTGTGTGTTGTGTGTTGTGTGTTGTGTGTTGTGTGTTGTGTGTTGTGTGTTGTGTGTTGTGTGTTGTGTGTTGTGTGTGTGTGTGTGTTGTGTGTTGTGTGTTGTGTGTTGTGTGTTGTGTGTTGTGTGTTGTGTGTTGTGTGTTGTGTGTTGTGTGGTGTGTGGTGTGTGTGTGTTGTGTGCTGTGTGCAGTGTGCTGTGTGCTGTGTGCTGTGTGCTGTGTGCTGTGTGTGTTGTGTGTTGTGTGTTGTGTGTTGTGTGTTGTGTGTTGTGTGTTGTGTGTTGTGTGTTGTGTGTTGTGTGTTGTGTGTTGTGTGTTGTGTGTTGTGTGTTGTGTGGTGTGTGTTGTGTGTTGTGTGTTGTGTGTTGTGTGTTGTGTGTTGTGTGTTGTGAGTTGTGTGTTGTGTGTTGTGTGTTGTGTGTTGTGTGTTGTGTGTTGTGTGTTGTGTGTTGTGTGTTGTGTGTTGTGTGTTGTGTGTTGTGTGTTGTGTGTTGTGTGTTGTGTGTTGTGTGTTGTGTGTTGTGGGTTGTGTGTTGTGTGTGGTGTGTTGTGTGTTGTGTGTTGTGTGTTGTGTGTTGTGTGTTGTGTGTTGTGTGTTGTGTGTTGTGTGTTGTGTGTTGTGTGTTGTGTGTTGTGTGTTGTGTGTTGTGTGTTGTGTGTTGTGTGGTGTGTGTGTGTGTGTGTGTGTGTGTGTGTGTGTGTGTGTGTGTGTGTGTGTGTGTGTGTGTGTGTGTGTGTGTGTTTGTGTGTTTGTGTGTGTGTGCTGTGTGTGGTGTGTGTGTGTGGGTGGTGTGTGTGTGTGTGTGTGTGTGTGTGTGTGTGTGTGTGTGTGTGTGTGTGTGTGTGTGTGTGTGTGTGTGTGTGTGTGTGTGTGTGTGTGTGTGTGTGTGTGTGTGTGTGTGTGTGTGTGTGTGTGTGTGTGTGTGTGTGTGTGGGTTGTGTGTGGGGTGTGTGTGTTGTGTGTTGTGTGTTGTGTGTTGTGTGTTGTGTGTTGTGTGTTGTGTGTTGTGTGTTGTGTGTTGTGTGTTGTGTGTTGTGTGTTGTGTGTTGTGTGTTGTGTGTTGTGTGTGGTGTGTTGTGTGTGGTGTGTTGTGTGTTGTGTGTTGTGTGTTGTGTGTTGTGTGTTGTGTGTTGTGTGTTGTGTGTTGTGTGTTGTGTGTTGTGTGTTGTGTGTTGTGTGTTGTGTGTTGTGTGTTGTGTGTTGTGTGGTGTGTGTTGTGTGGTGTGTGTGTGTGTGTGTGTGTGTGTGTGTGTGTGTGTGTGTGTGTGTGTGTGTGTGTGTGTGTGTGTGTGTGTGTGTGTGTGTGTGTGCGCGCGTGTCCAAGCTGTGCTTCCCTCGTAGTTCGTAGTTGTGCATGGACGGACGGACGGCAGGACGGCCGGATGGAAGAAGCCACCCAAGAACCATGGCCTTAACAGTGGGTCACAGGAACACCCACAGGCACGAAGCCTCAAGTCCCAGCCCCATTCCCCCCGACTGCGTAGCTCGCGTTGCTGAGGCACAGGCCGCAAGGTCTCGCGGCTGCAGCCTAATAGCTTGGACCTGGGAGCCGCAAGCCACAAGAAGCCAGAAGAAAGCACGAGGGATATGCCATGCTTGGTCTAACAAAGTCCAGGCTGGACCCCTGAAAAACGCAAGAACAAAACTCCCTGCGCCTCACTGAAGTGTGTAGGTGGGTGACTTGTCATATGCAGGGCATCAACAAGCGCGCGCCTTGATTTCAAGTGGAAATGGGGGGAGCCAAGCATCAACTGGGGTTGCCAATGTCAGGGAATGGACGGCTGAAAGAAATGGAGAAAAAGAAAAAAAAAAAAAAAAAAAGAAAAAAAAAGAGAAAAAGAAAAAAAAAAAAAAAAAACAGAAAAAAAAATGTCAGGGAATGGACGGCTGAACAAAGTCTTTCATGCAAAGAGCTGACTTCATGGTCTGTATTGTGGGTGAGGGTGGTTCTTCTCAGACTGGTCGGCTCATCAGGACTGTTCCATTCAAAAAAAGTTCCCAATTGTCCAATAAACACCAAATCGTTGATAAGCTACCGGTATCTAGCTGCTGTGGCTTATGATGTGTGAAAACCATGTGTAGAGCAAAAAGAGTCCCAAGTTTGCCGCAGACTTTTGAGGCTCCGTCAAAAAGCCGCAACCAAACGCCTGCAAACCTCGCGCAAACTTCCCTCCCACTCCAAGGCCGGGGACTTGCACAGCCTGTCCCAGCTTGCAGTAGTGCAGGAGGCCTGGCGGCAAAACACCCAAAGCCGGCCTTAGACGAAAAACAAACTCCGCCACGAATCCAAATTCCCAGCACGTCTCTTCCTGCACTAGGCCTACAAATCCGGATTCCCAGAACATCTCTTCCTGCACTAGGCCTGCAACAAGCAACTATCCTGCCAATTAAAAAGGAACAAACAAAAGGACAAACAGTGTGTTTTTCGCCGAGGCAAGTCAACCGATCCAACGACACGAATCAACAAAAGATGGTCTTCTGGGCCCTCAGATTTTCCGCTAAAAGTTTTTTTTTACTTTTAGCGGGTGAGTTCTTGGAAACTACCAGACTAAACCAATGCATTAAAAAACACACACAAGACGCACAAAACCGCGAGGTTTGGCTCCGAGTCGTTTCACCAGAAATCATCACCGCCCTCCAGAAGCTTCTCGCCTGCCGCTTCTGCGCGCTCTGCAGCAGCTGCCGCGAGCGGGCGGACCGGACCTGGCGGGCTGGGACCTGTGGATGGTTGCGAAATCCGCTTCACCTGGAAACCATGGTTGAAACCATACCGTTTGCTGGTATTTACAGGGGAATCATCATTCCTAGGTTTCTTAGGTGGTGCAGGATTTCGTCCATCCACAGTATGAAGGTACTGTGTTTGGGGCTATGCGTGCTTCGGTGTCACTAGCCATGCCTGTCTGGAGATGTAGAACGGGTCGAGATTTAATTTGGGAATTGTTTTGCTTTATTTTGGGATTTTTTTTTGTTTTCCGTCCTGGCTACTAAAATGCTGTAATTTACAGCATTTTCTCGCGAAATGTACGTATTTTACGCTAGTCCGTCAACATCATCAGCATCGTTTTCAACATCCCCCGCAGGTCCAGCCAACATCCCCAGCATCACCAGCAAATTGGCTTCCCGCATCTCATGGTAAAAGTGAGGATTCAAATACGGGCAAACTAATCCCTGTAAAACACCTAAAACGTGGCGGCAGCCCCCCCCCATGATGATTGAAAAAGTGACGACGGCAGCCCCCC